GGAATGTAAACTCCTGGGTCCCTATTTAGTTTTGGTTCACGTCTGCGTATTTTAATTGCTTCATGAGTTCTTCAGTTTCATTTGTTGTGGCAGTTAACTGCTAACTCTTTAACGTTTGTCCAGTTCACTCGGTGGCATGGGTTTTCAATAAGATGTTCGGCAATGGCAGATCAACATGTGTTCTTTAATTCTGAGGTCTAGGGTTCTTTTCGATTCTCCAATGTATGATTCCCCACAACTGCAACTTACTTGATAAACACACCCTTTTGGAGAGATGGATTTGGTGGGGGTTATCTTTCCATTTGCTTTTATTAATTCTTTGGTTGTCTTGCCTTTGAGATATGTGGTTTCTGTATGTGCTTCTTGTTTTAACAATCTTCTAATTTGGTGGGAGATTTTTCCGTGGTAAGGTATAAACACTCGTATAGGGGGTTTATCTGGTTTTGGCAAGTCGGATAGTGTGGCATTGATAATGTTTATCTGTAGCGGATACCCGTTGTGTTTGGTGAAAACGTCTGTAACGTGTTGTACTTCGTGGGGGAGGAGTTCAGGGTCACAAATATTTTTAGCTCTTTTTGTTAGGGTGGCGATGACGGCTGCTTTGGTGCTGTTAGGGTGATTTGATTTGTTATGAATATTATACTAGTCTGTGTGAGTTGGCTTTCTGTATACTGAGGTAATTATTTTGGAGTCCTCTTTTGTTACTAGTATATCTAGGAAAGGAAGGCTGTTGCTGGTTTCATTCTTCATGGTGAACTTGGTTGTACAGATGATGTAGTAGGATGCCAGCATCATCTTCTTCTTTTATCATAACAAATATGTCATCGACCTTGCGAGACCAGAATAAGAGTTGAAATGGTGCGGTTTGAATGGCTTCTTCTTCTAGTGACGTCATGAAAATTTCTGCTATCAGGGGGGATAAGAGACTGCCCATTGGTAAACCATGGATCTGTTGATAATGGTTGTCACCCCATGTGAAGTATGTGGATTCCAGGCATTGTTTGATTAAACAGACTATCAGTATCACTGGATTTTTTTTTTGATATTATTTATTTTGCTAGATGACAGCCTGTCATTATTTAATATTGACACAAGAAGCACAGAATGAAAATAAATTTAGGAATGTGATTCTTTTGACAGTGTCGGATGCAGGGTATTAAGTGGGGCCTGCTGGTTCTCTGAGAAAATTTTGAGAAATCAGGATGTCAGTGGTGATTTGTGGCACATATCTGGACCAGGATATAACAATCAATTTCATCAGCTATATCACTTCCACTAATTTACATGTTTCATAGAAACAGAATAGGCCTAATAAGTTAATTTTTTTATGTTGTCATTTATATTGTCATTACCCTAAAATAGGCAAGGTGATATTGCAGACAAGTCTTATTTTTGTTGATATTTGTTGATGGATTTGAAATATCTTTGAGTGACTGGTGACGATGATTTAATAAGACTGACAGTCGTATCTGAATTTGAGATATCTTTAAGTGATTGGTGCTGATGATTTAATAAGACCTACACAGTCGTGTCCAAATTTGAAATATCTTTTGAGTGACTGGTGACAATGATTTAGTAAGACTGGCATTCTGTTTGTGAAATTGAAATATCTTTGAATGACTGATGCCGATGATTTTGTATTAAGCCGACGTTAGTGAATTGAAAATATCCTTGAGTGACTGGAGCCGATGATTTAGTGTATGATTAATCACCTGTTTGTGAATGCAAAATATTTTTAAGTGTCTGGTGCCGATGAATTGTTAAGTCCGACAGTTTGTTTGTGAATTTGAGATATAAACATTCACCAATGAAAGATGTTCTTTTAATGATTGGACAATGTATGTGTGATAATCCATGACAGTTCCCGGTCGGACCAAATATGCTGAGGCATGGGCAAATGAACAGATTCTTTTTTGGTTTTGCCCATTAATTATAAATTAATCCAAAAATAAAATCCAATAGCAACACACTGACAAGACTATGTAGAAGGTCTAAAAGTATTTATTCCAGGGCGCGTTCCAGTTGTTCAAGGACTGGTGCTGGAAACGTGTTCTGGAATATATACTTTTATACCTTCTAAGTTCTACACAGTCTTGTCAGTGTGTTGGTAGGGAATTTTATTTTGGGATTATTTTCGAAGGATTGCTTCCTTCTTGCTCCTACAATATCACTGAGATCCAGACTGACCTGCACTGTTCTAGTGATTTTTCCAGCTATTATTACTACATTTAGTAAGAAGTTAATTCGTCGCAGTCATGGAATTGATTAGAAACTAATAACAGTATTAATGACAGTCAAGGCTAGCCTATAATTATATCGCTGATTTCTTGGCTCAGAGTGAAGTAATTTGACTGAAATGTTCAAAATATTCTCTTTTCATTTTCAATCATTTAACTATTATAGCGAGAACTGTCAGCTATTTATCTAACTATTTAAATGTAGCTATGATTTAACCAGGACCAACCTGCAAGACTGGTGATTGCAACCTTTATGTTTGAGAGGGCTCTAAAATTGTTGCCAAATTTATGGATATTTCCCTATATTTCACTTTGGTTGAAAAGTCTTGCATTATTGTCCATAAAGCATTTTCGGTCACATTTTGAGAAGATACTGTACAATACCTCCAACTCTGGGCTATTACGCCTACATGTATTGAATTTTGAATATAAATAACTTTTTCAGAACCCTTTTGTACTTCCTGTTCAATGCATTGAAGAGCACTTGAAGTTATTTTTATGTTGCAATTACGTAATAGATTTTTTTTAAAAGCTTAGCGTAAGATTGAGTTTGAAGTGTCATAAATTCAAAATTTCCATAAGTAAAATCATTTTGATGTAAATAACTTTTTGAAGTTTTTTAATTAAAGATTATGAGTTTCTGCATTGATCGGTGAATAAGTTTACAAAATCAACTTTTGGTTTGATTTTAGCGATATTGAAAATATGTTTTTTTTACATTCATTCCATATGATAGTTGCTGGTATATATTTTGTATAATGAAGCAGGTGACTTTAGTTCTATGTTACATGTATGAATAATGGTTGATTGGATGTGAACATTGAAGTATCAGTAAATCATGCTAACACTAGTAAGTTACATCAATTGCATTAGCGGTAAATCTTTTCAGAGACTAATTTGAAATTAAAATAAGAATAGGGTGTAGCATTGTTGCAAGGGCAAAAGTTTATATGTTGGACAGCGCTTCTCTTTTCCATGTTGTCCATTTATTAATGGCTTCTGTTGTTATAACTTTGTTTTCATAATAAATGAATACTGTATTTTCCATAGCATCTTTTTTTTTATTTTAGTCTAATGACAGCACTCTATATTAAAGGATTCTTTTAATATTGATTTTTTTTATCATGGTTTGTAATAAATTTTCCCAGGTATTAGATTTCTGCAGGACATTTATTTTATTTTGTAAGTCTAAGCTGTCATAAATACATGAAGTTGCATGGTTTTCACTGGAGGCAATTACCTTCCATATTTTGCAAAAGAAAAATACAGCATTAAGTTGTCTTGAGAGTATTTTTATACTCATGTTTGGAGATTTCATTCTGGCTAAGTGTTGACAATTATCATGGACATTGTGACAACAGATTTATTTTAGCTCAGAGATCACAGAACTTACTCAATACCACATACGTCCACCCACGATAGAAAATAATTATACGTTTTATACAGCCACATTGACTTTAAATTTCTACAGTGTTTAACTTTAAGGTCATGAGACGAAGAAGCCTATTGATTTTCAATAATTTCCTATATTTATTGGCAGAGTTATGGCCCTTGATCACTTTAAAAAAACTTGTGGACGCTCGAGAGGTTAAAGTTAATATCCAATTGACTTTAAATTTCTACACAGTGTTTATGATCATGAGACGAAAACACCTGTTGATTTACGATTTCCAATAATTCCTTTCAGAGTTATGGCCCTTGATCACTTTGAAATATGTTGTGGATGCCCTAGCGGCTAAAGTTAATATCTGATTGACTTTAAATTAATACACAGTATTTGACTTAAATTTATGCACAGTATTTATGGTCATGTGGCAGAACTAGACGCCAAACAAATTCTAATGATTTCTGATAATTACTTAATGGGTTGTTACTCTTAATTAGATTTTATTTAGTGTGTCGTAAATGTTTTCCTTACCAACGTAAAAATAAATATGCGACACCCCTTGTTGACTGCTTGGACAACTTAGATGAATACAGATTTACTTTCAGAACTTGTAACAATGAGGCTAAATCTCTTATATTTTGAAAAAAAGTGGTGATTTGATGTGTTATTGCAATTACTGGTAGTAATAGGACAGTCTATGCTATCATGTAACAATGAAGCTAAATCTATTATGTTTTGAAAAAAAGTGGTGGTTTGATGTGTTATTCCAATTAATGGTAGTAATGGGACAGTCTGTGCCATCATCAAACAAAATTTTTCGCTTTGAAATGTTAAGCTGAAATTCACTGTTGAACAGAAAATCAGTTATAATATCTAACATTGGCTCTGTTTGTGTACCTAACATTTGAATTTAGACAGATACCTAATTAACTATTTCACAATGCAAATTAACAGGTCTAATTTAATTATTAAGTCAATGCTTTCACTTTTTACACAAATCTGATTTGAGAAGATAACTTGTTGAGTTAAAAAACAAAAACAAACTACAAATGGTTTGGGATTTTAGTACATATTTACTTAATGTCCTTGTTTCTTGGCCACAAGGCGCCTAACTACTAAAGGAAAATATTTATGAATTTCATTATTGAGCATCATTATCACTTATGTACATGTATCTTTAGATTTCTTATGAAAACATTCTTTGAAAACTTTGAAGAAATTTTGTTTCAATGTAGTTTAATAGTTGCAGTAGTTAGATATGGTTAGATGTAATTCCATAGGTCTTTGGATTTCATTTCATATCTGGACTAAGATATCAGAAATAAGATGGTAGAAATTTCCTTTTTTTTTCTACAGATATTTTGTAAAAAGGAAAATTCAGAATAATTCTGGTGCTGGTTCTGTAAATAAGGAATCTGATGATTTCATGTGTTTGATCCCCCCAAAAGTTTACTGTGAGTGTGAGAGCTACGCAGTCCTCATCTTCTTGTGAGTTGAGTTCATAGCTGAATCTGAACACAAAGACCCCTATCTAAAAATAGATGACCTACAATCCTGTATGAATGAAAGAAATTCTGAGCCAGTAATCGAGATTTTGGGGACTTAAGGTTGCACTGTGTGGAGCTGCACAGGTTATTGTGCAGGTAACTGTTCACCCAATTCTTCACCTTAATGACGTAAAGTTTGATTGGTAATTGTTAATTCTACATTAAAACCTTTTTAGTTCTTTAAGACTTTCATTTTGTTGATATTAACATTAATTGATTGACAGAGTTTTTTAAAACCGGGTCTTTGTTTGCACAAGTTTTTGTTTTGTTTTTGTTACATGTAAGTCAGTTACACCCGGAAACACATGGTTTAGAGCCTTGTATTGAAGATTTATTTATCTTCTTAGATAAAAGAAATGTATTTGTTGTTATCTATTATAATAGATGAGAGTTAGGATCTGCTCAGCTCAGTTATTTGAACCATGCAAACTTGCCCGGGACATTTAAACGTTAAAGGGACATTATAATAACAAAGGTATGTAACGGATATGTATTGTTGTATAATATATACAGTAGAGTAGGATATTAATGGAATAGAAGTCTATTTGCAACAACATACAGTGTATACATGTAGATTTATCATTTATTAAAGGAATGTTTATGTAATTTTATTAACAATATACAATAATAAAAAAAAAATTCTTGTGTGTGAGTGTTTATTGATATTTTAACTGCTTTTATTAATTACATCATGTAATTTAAAAGATAAGCTTATGGGGTTTTTTGGTTAAATCTTCTTTTTTTTTAAATTAATATATATTTCAACATGAAATCGAGTTTATTTCCTTTTGCCCTTTCTTTTTTTATTTAAACCATTTTTTTTTTAATTTAAAAAGAACTTGTGATTATATTAATTGAAAACAATGTGTTAAAATAAAAAAAAAATATAAAATTTTTCTTCATAACTAAATATTTCATTTTTGGCTCAATTGGCGCATCAGCATTTAATTTAAAAAGAACTTGTGATTATATTAATTGAAAACAATGTGTTAAAATAAAAAAAGAAATATAAAATTTTTCTTCATAACTAAATATTTCATTTTTGGCTCAATTGGCGCATCAGCATTTAAAAACCGTTCGGATATATCACCATTCCATCATAATGAAGGTAGAATTGGAATTTCGAGAAAATCGAATTGAAACTGCCCGACAAAATGGACCCTCTTTTTTTGTACGCAAATTGTGTATAAGTGTGTAATACAAAGGTTATGGACCCTCTAGAGTTCAAAATTCAGCAGCAAGGCTCATCACCGGAAGTAATTATAATGACCATATTACTCCTATTTTACAGAAACTCCATTGGTTACCGATTATTTTTAGAATTGAATTTAAAATCCTCCTTTTAACATTTAAATGTATGAATGATATGTCACCTTCTTATTTATCTTCACTTTTAGAAATGTACACACCGAGTCGCACTCTGCGCTCTTCATCTGATCATTTTTTACTTGTAGATAAATCAGCAAGACTTTTATCTTTTGGAGATCGATCTTTTACCGTCCAGGCACCGAAATTATGGAATTCTTTACCTTTTAATATAAGATGCTGCACAAATTTACTCTATTTTAAGTCACTTCTTAAAACATTTTTGTTTAAGAAAGCCTTTAACTTATAATTCTTTTAAAACCTATTTGTGATATCAGATTTTATTCTGCGCTACCATGTTATGTTTTACTTCTATAGATTTATTTAGTTTTCCTATATGTATATTTATTTTTATTACATATTTTATTGAATTGTATTGTACAGCGCATCTGAACACGTTTTGTGTAAGATAGCGCTCTATAAATGTTAATAATAATAATAATAGAGGTCACAATTTTTATCCAGTTTTGATGAAACTAAAACATATCTTTATATTCCAAAAATCTCAGTCCCTTTTGGTATTTGTGCATTTCAGACCATAACTTTCTGGATTATGGCCCCTGATTGTACAAAAAATTTTTTTTGTTTTTGGCTTGTTCTATATCCATCTCTTGCAAAATGTGGGCATATCCTGCCTGGCAACCACTGGTTTTAAGAACCTTGTAAAAGTAAAATAAAACTACTGCTAGTATGTTCTTGCCTAACCCTAGTGTTTCAAAGATATTGTTTGTACTAAACCAAAAGATGCTGCTCCAAATGGTACAGTTAATGATAAAGCAATTTAAAAAATAAAACAAACGTAATTTCTAAAGCTGCTGTAATAACCAAAATGCTAAATATTAATGCTATTCAGAATCGTCAACAATAGATTTTTTTACGGCAGTAATGATTGATAGATGTTTAGAGAATTGCACGTGTGATCGCTATTTATAGACTCAGACTCTAGTGCTGAGTATTATTTTCACTGCGTGATTAGCTAGAAACCACTTCGAGACAAGCCACAGAAGCGTGCACATTTGCCGTGTCGAGTTCATCTTTCTGTAGGGAAAGTTTTCGCTACACGGGGCACCCTATATACATGTAGTATTTGGTTGTTAATTCTAATAACACGGAGATAGTATATCCCCGTACCTTCTTGTCTTATTTCTTCTACTCCTGCTTTTGCTGTGCAAATCAAATGATCTTTTATATTTATCAAAAATGTTTTGATTTACTTCTCAGTCAACAACATTGATCATATTGAAACTGTGGCAAAAGACACCTCTGAGAAAAAGACATAAAACATATTGTGAATCCTTTCAAATAGGAACAGTTAAAGATACATTCCCCCGTACAAACTGGATGATTTAATGATATATTTGGACTAAAAACATATTCAAACTAATTAATTTATCATAGTTTTCCTTCAAATCCTTCTCAAAACATTGTAATTGCCAAGGAATACCCTGCTATAAAAATCGATCAAAAGAGGTCATGTTTGTATCACGGGGACGAAGTCAGAGGAGAATTCATTGTATACACAAGACGATGTTGTCTTTAATCGCTGACTATTACAAATATCGAATCCTAATTAAATTCTCGGATTATCCAATGCCGGCGTCTTTTTCCGTGATTTTTATCTCGGAAAGTGTTGTACGTCTAACTCTTCATAACGTTTATCAACTTGTACACCTTCGACGTCACACGTGCAGGTATTCCTAATCGTCGGGCTGTCGATTAGGGGAATCTAGTAAGATTGGATATCTCTGCTTTCCATATATACCAAAATTGCCATACTTTTATTGGAAATAACCCCCTGATAAATACTTTTCTGGGAACCTATCTTTAAATAATATAAGTAACTGGTTTTCTCATCTCAAATATCTTTTAGTATAAAATAATGGTTAAGAAAAAAATAAATGCAGGTTTATTGTGACTTGCAGTCTCAGAGCATGAGCCAAATTGTTTTTTGTAAACCAATTGGGTTGTTTTTCTTTCAAATGTGGTGCTTTAAGGCAATTGAAGAAAAAGATTGAAAATTAATTCCTGTGTGTGCTTTTGTGAAGCTTCAGTTACATCAGTTGTTTCCTTCAGCACAGAATAATTACCAATAAATGCGTAAGATATTTTAATACAATAAATAACAAGACAGGCATAAGCCACTTATCCTTTAAGTCGATACATGATCTGAACTGATTAATTATCTGTTTGCTTAGATTACTTCCTTGCAGCTGCTAAAAAGACGTACAAAATAAAATAAATTATTCATTTTAAAATCAGGATTGAAAAAAGATTAAATGAGCTACTGTACTGCAGTTGTTCTTGGTAAAGGGAATGGGAAAAATAGATCAATACTATGGCATACAGCTTTCCAGTACAGTACATGTATACTCCCAATGTGTTTCAACCATGGTATTCAGATTGTGTTTACCGGTTCTCTACTTGTTACGATCATAGCACACAATTTAATATATAACTGGTGATTACCTTTATTCATGTTATTGCAAACAGGTTGATATTTTATTTGACCAATAAATTCTTTGGTTTCTACCATGTGTTGATACCATGTATAAATAGACTACAATGAAAAATTCCTATTTATTTACTTATATAAACGCATGATACATTCAATGCTCAATAATTATTGACAGATTCATGATTTTATGCTATCATTCTTACCCAGAGAAAAAGTCTGAATGTTATCTTCAGTGTCTGTGAAATGTTGAACTGACTAAGGTTGTTGGGCAGTGGGTTGGTTATAGACACAGGTTACAAACTTTCAGTATCATTGTAATGTAAATATTGTTTAAAGGGGGCTTTGGGTAAGATTAGATATACATTATTAGATAATGAAAATGGAATATGTTGAAAATTTCAGTCAAATACTTCACTCTGAGCCCAGACATCAGCAATACAATAACACTGGAGCCTTGATTGTCATTGCTACCATTGTTACGATAAAAGAACAGTCTCGATTATCTATCTTTATGGTTATTTCATCAACCACAAATCATATTCAGATCTACTAAATATCGGAGCATTCAGAGTTGATTATGGTCTTGGTAAAGTTAATTAATGTCTAATTAATAATTTATATAATATTTAAGACCTAAAGAAAGACCTGCAATAGGCAGTTTTAGCTCTTGCATAATGTCTGTTTAAGATTTTGTTTTTAGTCTGCAAATCATTCTGTGTTGATTGAAGATGATGTATGTTTTATCAGTTGGTTGAAGGTACAATGTACTGTGATCTAAAATCTGTCTTGATCTGAATAATAGATAATTTTATTATAGCCAAGATAGATTGTAACCTTATAACCTAAAATGTATCTTGTTTGTAAGATAACTGGATCATGTGACTGATTATTTAATTTAGCTGAGGTCACAATAGAGGTTATCACGGTTGGTTGACCTTAATGTAATCACTGGCCCAATTTTCTGTTTGTATGTATCTCAAAAGCAGATGGCGGCAACTTAAAATCCTTTTTGTCAATATACATACCAGCTATGTCACTCAGAGGTATTTTATGGAATTGGGGCAGTAAAGATCATGGTTGGTGAAAAGTTGCCTCTCTTGTTAGATTCAGCTATTTCATCTTTGATTGTGTGTTTGCCATAAGAAGTTGTTTTTCAGTCAATTGAATTTAGGTAATTCAATCATTTGGATGTTCAAGAGAGAGAGAGAGAGAGAGAGAGAGAGAGAAATGGGGTTTAACGTCCACTCGACACAAACTAGGTCATTTCGGGACTAACATTTGGTTTAATTTTATTTACATAATTCGCTTGCGCGTAGGGGTCTT